AAAAAGTTGCCATACAAACTGTAAACAATGTACAAGTGATTGAGTGTGCGTCAGACACTGAGAGTGCTACAAATCCGACTTCAGGCATCGTACGCATGTCAGTGAAACGTGACTTCAGGCATTGCTACACATGTCGATGAAACGTCGAATCGTCGTATTTATTTGACATTTGTTATTCCCATAACAGTATTTTTACAGAATAAATTAATTGCAATGATACATCATTAATAATTACTTGTCTGTTTTGGTTGTGTGTGTGTTTGCCTATCCCCTTCCCTATTTCACAATGAAAAAGTTTGATGACCCTGGTTTAAGAGCCACTGGCTACAGGGTTGTCAACATGTTACCTCAAATAAGCACCACCCAGAAATGAAAGTGTTACAAAGTGGCTCTTATTTGAGGGTTTTTATGGTACCTCTATTGTTCGTATATTAAAATAGGACGCATTATGGGAGTACCACAATGTAGAGGGTGCTCAGGTTTTTAGTCTGCCTGTCATTTTTAGACAGGCACTTTCTATTTTCTGGCTATACAGGGACCATAGCACCAAGAGCCAAATGATTTCCAAGACTTTTCCAGAATTTTTCCCAAACTTTCTTGCATTTTTGCAAGACATTTGACCCTTAATTCAGGCTAACATCATCACCAAAGGTCACCAAAGTTCTGAGGATATGGTAGTTTCTCTGGAAAAAAAGGGCCTTTCTAAAATGAATTAATAACTATGAAGAAATTAAAAGACTTTTCAAAGATTGTTTTATTTTCCTGTAATTTAAAGACAACTCAAAGACTTTCCAGACCTCAAAAAAAATCCAAAGACTTTCAAAGAATTTTCGCAATGCTATGGACCCTGCTATATGTATAACCATGATTGTTTAATATGGTAGATACAATGTATACACATAATCTTCTACACATAAGGTTAAGACTACTGTAGCAAAGTGGTTAAGTCAATGTGAAAGCACACAGGGCTGGCAAGATTAGGGGTAAACCAGCATGTGTTCAAATTTCGTGTAAAGAAATGCGTATTTTACATTGCATAGTATGTGACATTTCAGGGCTGGACAAACATATTTCCATTATGTAATTCAATTATCGAATTTGACCTTCTAGACTGGAACTTCCTTGAATAATGGTGATTAAACATGGATGAATTATGGTTT